TTCTTTAAGGAGAAGACTTAGAGAAATTATCCCTTTCAGTTGCTCAGGTTCAGGAAGCAAAAAACACAGTTGAAAATAATAATAACATAACAAATAATTATGAACCCCAATTTTTACTTAACAAAAATATTGTCTATGAACAATTGGCACACTGTCATCATTGCTAATTTTGTTAAAGCACTTGCTCCCTGAAGCTGATCTACAGATGATTTAAGTGACTGCAGAATGTTTTCATCCTCTCTTTCTCTCTCTCTCTCTCACACACACACACATACATGCACACACACACACACAAATACTTTTTAAATGCAGACATATTTCAGAAATTTCTGGATAGACAATCTAAAAGATGAGGGATCCATTGTATACTAGCTTTCCTATAGTTTTTTTCATGATCCAGTTTGTTTTTCCCTTACTTGATAAAGTATATATTCTACCTGAAGTAATTATATAGATGAAATTACTAACTTCTGTACTTGGAACTTCAGTCCCTCTTATAATTACAGTCTAAGGCCTGCAGGCCATGGAAGGAAAAGGCATTGAATCATATTAAATCAAAGCCTTTCTTCTTTACCTGGGACCAAAGAAGCATGTGAGAAAAGAGGCAAACTGGAATGAGGGAGGCTTGCGAAACAGCAAGAAGCATGGCAAGTATAGTTCACCAAAGACTGACATTTTTGCATCTTTGTAGGCTAGAGACATCTTGACAGACGCAGCAATTGGGCCTTAAGAAACCCAAATCAGACCAGCTGCTGAGGCATCAAGGCAAATCATCACCCTGTGTTCTTCCTTTCATAGCTTAGGCTACAGAAGGAGAAGCTGACTGAAGTGTTTCTGCTTCCTCGTCAACTTATTTAACCTTCATCCATAGCAATGTGGCCTCAAATCCCAGTTTTCTATAGAAACTGGTCCGGTGAAGATCACCAGTAACTGCTGGTTGTCAGAGACACTGGCTGCTTTTCAGACTTTCTCTGACCTGATGTAGCATCATCACTGCTGACCTTCCCTCCTCTTGAGCTGGCCTCCTGCCACGGCTCCCACAGCACTGATCCTCCTCTGGAATCTCCACTGACACCTGCTTCTGTAGGATGCTCTTCTTCCACTGCACACTCCCCCATGCTCCTGATGTTGATTTTGCTTGGATGTTGGTCCTTGCTCATCCCTTCACTCAGCTCTGCAAGTTTTAAAGCTATGCAAGTTTTAGGCACTTGGTAGTCTCATAACTGAAACTACCACCTCTATTGACGTCCTAATCATCTCCATTCTGGACTTCATACGCAGCTACCTACTGAACATCACTTCCAACCGATACGTCTAAAATTGAACTTATTTCTCTTCTTTCAATCTCTACCTTCTTCCCGGATCTAAAAGTGCTAATTTTCCTTTCGTGTTCTATTCTGGTTAATGCCATCCAAACTAACTGTTGGGAGTTACCAAGGTTCCTACAACTGCCTGCTATTCTCTCCAGATTTGGAACTTATCTAGAGTCCTACAATTCCCTTTCTAGTCTCGATTCACTCACTCCTCTCTCCTAATTATCTCTTAACTCATGCCTGCTACTCTTTTTGTGCAATTATCTCCTTTTGCCTTTATTATTGTAAATCTATAGCTTTCCACATTGCCTAAGAACATCTTTCAGAAACAAAATCTGTTTATATCCGTTTTTCACTCTCCAAAACCAGAAGGATAAATTCCAAATTCCTTCCTGTCCTAATTCCACCACCTTGTCAAGCCTAATCTCACAAAAATCTCTTCTTCCACATTTTACTCTAATCATGTCTTCAAATTATTTCATACTGCATTGTCATAGCTGTTCCATATGAGAGAAAATCTCTCTCTCTCTCTCTCTCTCTCTCTCTCTCTCTCTCACTCTCTCTCTCAATACGATTCCAACACCCAGGCTCAACCCAAGCACATCCTTAATTCAAAGGTCATCTCCTCTATACCTTACCCTGAGTCATTGAGACTGACTTGATCATTCTCTTATTGTGCTAATAATTGTTGTTGAACAAATTCTGTGGAGTTCTGCCTCTAAAAATAAGATAGTGATGACTAAAACGGTATTTGAGCTACAGCTTAGTCATAATGCATGTAGTGATATTACCTGCTCTAGGGGACATTGCTTTGATGATGCCCGAGACTGAGTTATCAGCTTCTTCTCTACCCTACTACAATACCATTGACTAGATTGCATTAGTTTTCTATGTTCTTGTCCCCATTCTATCATGTGTCTAAGAACTCTTTGAGGATGGGATTCCAGGTCTATTAATATTTTATTTCCAACATCTAGCATTTAGCACAGTGTTTTGAACATTATAAACAGTCAATATGCATATTTGAAGAATGAATGTTGCTATTGAATGAATTGTCAGAGCCTGAATAGAACAATTGTTTCAGTTCTGCATTTACTCTTTGAATTTTTTAAATGTCTGAACTTCTATGTTGCAAACATCATATTAATCTGGAATTAGTGCCACAAAGTCTGTTTTGTGCACTGAGCAAAATAAGCTTTTATAAATTAAAAAATAGCACTTTAAATTATTAAAGAAAACTTGATAAAAACTACAAGATGAACAAACATGTTACATGTTTGTTCTTTCAAAGGGTATGTTGTAAATGACACAATTTACCTCTTACTCCACTGATGGTTTTATATTCATAGTGATGGTGAGATGTATGAGTGAAAAGCTTGTGCTCCAAAGCCAGACTGTCAGGATTCAAGTTTTTTATTTGGCTTTATTATTTATTAACTTATTAAGTATTTGACTTTGGCCAAGCTTTTAATCTCTCTTTATCTTAGTTTCTTCATCTGTAAGAGGGGAATTATAAAATTTATCTTTTTAGGTGGTATGTGAATTAAATGGACTTATATGAAGAGATTAGAGTAGGATCTGGTCCACAGCAAGCTAACAGTAAGCGCTGTGACATGACTTTGTATATCTAAATGCACATTTTACAGCTAAAACCCAGTTCATTAACTTATCCATTGTCCTTTCAATCACTTACTCAATGTTGAATTTATTTATTCATTAAAGATTTGCTGATTGCCTATTAAGTATTAAGCACTGTATTGGTTATATGAAATATAAAATATTAGATATGACCCTGTCTTCTCAACAAACGTAATTTGGTAAAGAGATGAAAATACATAAAAATAATTACTGTACACAGGAATGCAATAAGATCTTTAGAGGAAGTTGTACAAGAGTATTACATATGAATATTTTTTCAGACTTCAAGGGCTATGTTCATAATTATAGACAATGTGGATTGCATATTATGTCTTTAATCACAAGTAAAACAAACTGTGTTAGTACTTCATAGCACCTCTAAAACAGGAAGCCAGTGGCAAAGAGAGAGTGAGGTCATTGAAGTCCATCCCAAAGATACCATGTTTAGAAGCCTTTTGAGCAGAGCTTCACTTCCAGATGATTGTACTAAGGTCCCCAGAGTGAAATAAACACTTAAATAAGTGTCATTTGTTTCTAATTTGTGGCATTCATGAATGCTTCAATTTTGAATATCAGAATGTGACTTAGAAGTTTAAATAGCAAAAGCCTAACATATTATTAAGTCTTAAATTTTCTTTACTTTGCCTTTCTAATCCAGTTATTCTTTCAGATTCTTGAATATTTAAACCATTTAAAATATTAATAGCATATTGAAGAAATACCAATATTTACATTAATTTGGAATTCACAGTACTCTATAATATTTTCAGTGCTTTATATTATTCATAATTACACTAAATAAAGCATCCTCATGGAAGGAACTCCAGCAAGTATAAATGCCTATTGCATGACAAGCAATACTTTTCTTTCAGAGTGGAGATAATAAAAATATTAAGTAATAATATTAGGTAATATTAAGCTAGAAAAACAAATGAGGTAATATTTGAAAAGTGTATATAGAACAAATAATTTTCAAATGACTTTTTTATTAACAGCAAACTGACACATATATTGTATATATATTATTTAACATCAGAGGTTTTTAAATCATGGTAATTCAAAGTTTACAAATCATAAAACTTGTTATTATAGTAAATTTTAAGTAGTAGGACTATTATATATCCTATCCTCATTTCTCCAAAATGGAAATGATCATGTCTGTGATTAACTAAAAATATTTGCATTTTTCAGAGACAGTTTAGGGTTATAGGATGATAGCATAAATATATATATCAGGTTTCAGTAAAAATATAAGAGATAAGGATGATTCAGCTAACTGTGGAACTGAAAATACAGTGAATTCTCTGTCATCTCCTTTCAACATTTTGAGAAACACACCATTTCCAAATAAAGAATATCTAAGGGTTACAACATTTTGTTGTTGATTCAGCTACTAAAAAGCACTAAAATGAATTGCAGGAGGAAACATTACATTAGGTTGCAGACCCCTCAACTCATCCTTGTGTTGGCTCTTCTGTTTTCATTTCTAGGAACTAACATATATACTGTATTATATATATTAGTAAAACCTTAAGTTGTATTCTAAAATACACTTTTGAATAAAAATGTTCTCTTTATAGATAAAATATTTTGTATGTCATCATTTACTTACTATTTCATTGTGTTTATGGAATGTGAAATTCTTACTATTTCAAGATGAGTATCTAAAGAACATCAACCAATAAGAGTACATTCAACCTAAATTAATCCACGTTTCAAGATAATATTACACATTTTAAAAGACAAAACAAAGAAAATCTCACTAAACTAAATATCTTTAGTCAGGAGACATTTTTCAGTGGATCTTATTATATATGCTCCCCCACCCCTTTTCTCATCTCTAAGACATTTTTCTAAGCACATGTAGACTTCTATAGAGATTATAAAATTCTCAAGCACCCATATTATTTTGGGGCCAAGGTATTCTGTGTAAGAAATGTATCACATCAAGTTGAGTTCTAAAATGAACATACTCTTTTACGTTTTATCTCTACTGATAGATAGAAGCCAAGAGGCCCATGGGGGCATTTTGGCAATACTGTTACTTACGGTTGAGAGGCAGGCTCGCATTGGTTGTGCCTAGCTTGTTGGCAGCCACACAAGTATAGTTCCCGAAGTGCTCCTGTGTCACATTGGTAACGGTGAGAATAGATCTTGTGCTAAAATTTTGAATGATAATTCCTTGTTGGCCATTGAAGAGCCTAGAAGACAAAATAAACTATAGGTAAATATGTATTATAAGTATCATTTTCATTTTTATTTTAGATGGGGTTGTAATGGCAACCCATAGACAGTTTTGACCACTGGCATTGGTATATAGCATGATAATGTTAAATTATATTTTCCTTTTATTAACAGATATTGGACAGAAGAGGCTGTATGACAACTGTAGACTGTTCTTATGGGATTATTTGCACTATTTAACAAACTGAGCTTAGATATGCATGACTGATTTATACATTGTTTTGTATTTTAGAAAATTAAACATACCAAAACAAGGGCATCTTATCTGTTAAAGTCAAGAAAGAGTAGAAAAAATTAAATATAATAAATAGTCCATTAAAAGCACAAACTGATAGTTTCTAAGTAAACTGGTTGGGATATGTCTACACCAGTGGTTCTCAACCTTCCTAATGCCACGACCCTTTAATATAGTTCCTCATGTTGTGGTGACCCCCAATTTCATTGTTACAAATTGAACATAATTAAAGCTTAGTGATTAATAACAAAAACAATATGTAATTATGTATATGTTTTCTGATGGTCTTAGCTGACCCCTGTGAAAGGGTCATTTGACCCCTAAAGGGGTCTCGACCCACAGGTTGAGAACCACTGGTCTAGACCAGTTCAGGTGATATTATTGAATCACTCCCATTAAAGTTTAACCTACACCTGAGAAAAGGTGATTCCAGGGTCAACACCATTTCACTGTTGCCATGTACAATGAGACAGAGGTATAGTACTGAGGACAGTATTTAAAGTTGAGCCTCATCTCTGCCACATTTAAGGAATATGCTTATAATAGTCCTTTACCTTTTCTGGGCCTTAACATAGATTCAGTTTTTCCAGATTCCACCTGGACTACCCCTTAATCTCTCTCCAGACTACCAGCAGAGGCCCTCGCTCTCACTCTGGCTGGTATAGCTTCATTGTTCTCACTGCTTGCTATGCCCTGACCTGCTTCACTCTTTTTCTGAATCTACACTCAGTGCTCATCATCTTCTTTTATCTCTGCCATCTAGAGCCTTCCCTCCTCATTTAGGTTTGATCTAGTCCCATCTCCCTTTCTCTGAAATGAATCTCCTCTCTTTCACTCTGCATGTATCTTACCAAATGGTTGTGGCATTTATAAAGCAAAAACCACATTCTTGAATTGTTTTTTCTAGCAATTTCTATGCACACAGGTCTTTTCAACCCAAATAAATTCAGATTCCTCACAAAGCACAGTCTTATGGACATACTTTATATTTGAATCCTAGATTGCACTTAATAGTGGTATCCTCAGTAACAAATAGTCTAGGTGATGTCCCGACACCACAGGGACTGGTAAACTTCTTTCAGTGCCCCTTCAGGAAATTCTCTCTCTCATTATGAATTCTGCTGTAAGGAGGATGCCAATCAGATAATAACTTCTCCTAAACTAGCCCCTCTGTTTATTGTGAAAAAAAGATGTGCTGATCACAATATGGGCTATGTAGGCTCATGTTAGTTTTACCTTTTAATGTGTTTAAGTTTTAGCATTAAGTATTTCTTTAACGTTAAAGATGCTAATAAACGGCAGTCCTCTGAGAGTCTAGATTGAAATTGTTTGCATTATGTTATGTGACTTGCATCTGAATTTAGATAAAATACACTGCAGTTATATGCAGATTAAAATAAGCAGCCATCCTTGATTACTCTGGGAATTCCTTATAGTTCATGTACTAGCTGGATTTGAATTATCTAAAACTCAAACTTTAATCAGATTAATAAAGCTTTGAGTTGAAAAAAATATTGGAAAATCTTTAAATTGAGCAATAAACCTAATGATCTCAAACTCTGACACAAGAAATTAGTGCATAACAGCCTGGCTGGTGTGGTTCAGGGTTTGAGCGTGGACTTAGGAACCCAGAGGTCACTGGTTTGATTCCTTGTCAGGGCACGTGCCTGGGCTGCAGGCTCAATCCCCAGAAAGGGCATGCAGAAACATCGGCTGATCAATGTTTCTCTCGTGATGTTTCTATCTCTCTCTCTCTCCCTTCCTCTTTCTCTAAAATAAGTAAAATATATATATATATAAAAAACTAGGGCATAACATATTAAGACTATGGCAGCTTTTACTCCTCTGTCTCATATTGTAAATCTATCAAAATGTAGGCTAAATTCAGTGATATTGCACATTTTTCTGCATCACATTAATAGCTTTGCCTTTAATGAATTAGTTTATGTCCTATATTAAAAAAAAATCAGTTTCATTGTTGTTAAGAACATAAGCATTACAGCTCAAATCAATTTGTCCATAATTATGCTGTGGACTTATTTTCTAGAGAACTTAGCAGCTCCCTAGACTACTAAACCCCATTGTGCCCCATCTACCAAACCAAGATCAATTTTGTTGCTAGATACTTGAGAAAAAGTCAGTGTCTTCACTTGGCTAGACTCTAGGGAGAAAATCTGAAGGGAATATTGAGATTCAATATTCCCTTGAGTTACTTCAAGGCACTGTGGGCTTATGTTCCTTATGGCTATCTTTCTAAGCTGGCTTGTAGTTCTCTATCCTTTAATGTTACAAAGCCGCAGATGTTGCTAGATCATGCATCACATCCATGTTCTGAATGTCTAGGCCCATTTTTGACTTCTGCCAGCAGTGCACATCAGTGCTCCAACCCTTGCTGCTCAGATCAGTCTGGCAGGTGATTGTGGCCAATAACAAAGAAAAGGATTTTCCCTGGGGTTGTTTCTTCCCTAGGGGACGCCAGCTCTCTGAGATTACTGGAGAATCCAAGGCTTCCTTTCTTCTGTAGTTGGAAGTTTCAGAAGTGCTGACTCCTCAGGCATCACTTCAGAACCTATCTTTGCCTGGTGGATGGCTGCGACAGCCTTGGCAAAGCTGACCTTGAGGGAGAGTGACTTCTGAGATGGAGTGGATCTCTTAAGAGTATATCTCTGTGATTTTCTTGCAGGTATCCTGGGGGTAATAAAGAACTTTCTCAGCTATATCAATTCTGAAAATAGTAATTAAAATGCTACAAAGATGAGTTCTGCGCTGTGATTAGGGCCTAGGCTGGGCAACACATGTTCTCTGAAGATTTTTGAAGGCCCTTGAGAAGGTCAAAGCAGAAGATAAGAATCAGGTATATTAACAAGTGTTTACAACAGAGGGCATTTTAATCACTAGGGGGACCCTGTTAAGATGAACACATCTATTCTCAGTTACTGCATATAAAAATTTGAGCCACACCAGGAAGTCCTATCAATATGGCTCTAATGTAATTTTACTCCTTGATAAAAAAAAAAAAACAAATAATAAAAGAGTTCTTTAATTGATGGTAGTTATTTTTTCTTTAGGAAACAGATTTAGTTTAATATGGTCTGATATACAGTGGGGCCTTGACTTACAAATTAATTCGTTCTGTGATGGAGTTCGTAACTCAAATTACTCGTATGTCAAATCAACAGTGAATGAGTGAGACACGTGATGCTGGGCTAATGTTGTGACATTCACTGTGACGTTCGCTGCGCCAACTAGAGGTGGGGTATCTGAAACTGGCCAGTAACCTGAATTTTAACTCGCCACTCAAAGCAAAAAATCGGCCTAGAGACAGCTCATATCTCAAAAAACTCATTAGCCGGGACACTCGTAAGTCAAGGCCCCACTGTAATTATATTATCTGTAAAGAGAATCATTCTTCTTTTATTAGTAAAAACATATATTTTTCAAGTTGAATTGTTATTATGTGTTAAAGAAAATGCTTGATCAGTTTGAAGCATGTATATATAAGCCTGTTCACAGGGGATCCTGGCCCCGTAGGTTTTTCATATCCATTTCAGACTTGTTTGAAACCAGACTTCCTTGCATCGGTGATGTGAAATCTGAAGTGGCAACTCAAGAAATTGTTTATAATATATCTTTCAATCAAACCAGAGAACTAAATTCAGAATATTGCCTTATTTGGAGTTATGTATCTCTTTTCCCTAAACACTTAATTCTTTCAAGTTCTAAGGGAACCATTTTTGTGTTGACTTAGAATATAGAATGAGACATTTTTTCTCATAGTCCCCCTTCCCCCAAAAGAGAGAGTAACTAATTTTGCTGGGTTAGGGGTTAAACATGGCATTCCTTCCCTTTAGCAACAGATCAGCAGCATATGGTGCTTTCTTAGAAATGTGTGGCCATCTTTATTTTTTCACATGTTTACCATTCAACGGGTCTCATGGCTATAAGATTCTTCTATTACTATGGTCTCCTACCCTCAGTCACCAAGAGGAGTTTGTGCCACTATAACCTGAATATTTGTGTCCCCCAAAATTCATATGTTGAAATCCTAATCCCTAAAGGTGATGGTATCAGTAGGTGGGGTCTTTGAGAGGTGCTTAAAAGAGATTAGTGTTTTAAAAAAGAGGCTTCAGAGGGATCCCCAGCCCCTTGCGCAATGTAAGGTTACAACAGGAAGTTTGCAACCCAGAAGAGGACAGTCACCAGATATGCTGACACCTAATCACAGACTTCCAGCTTCCAGAACTGTGAGATAATTTCCTGCTGTTTCTAAGCTACTCAGTCTGTGGTATTTTGTTATGGCAGCAGAAATGGACTAAAACACATACTGAGGACCATCCACCTTATTCTTATACCTCTGCCTTGTGCTAATAAATGCCTCAAATCTATGAATTGCAGGATATTAGCTTTGCCAGAAGATGCTGCCAACTTATCAGTGACACAGCCTTACCAACTAACTAGTCCTGAATTAGGGCAGCTTCTTGTATTTTCATTAGAGGCCGGTGCATGAAATTTGTGCATGGGTAGGGTCCCTAGTCCTGGCCAGCAATCAGGGCTGATTGGGGCCTTCCAGCTGCTGGCTGGGTCCTTCCTTTGTTCTGCACCTTCCCCGGGTGGTCAGTGCACGTCATAGCAAGTGATTGAACTCCTGGTTTCCTGGTCGAACTCCTGAGGGGACACTTTGCATATTAGTCGCCATATATATATATGTGTGTATCAGGGAAG